AATTTATACACTGAATTTTTTTTGACACCAAATTTATACACTGAATTTTTTTTAACACTCAATTTTAAACACTGAATTTTTTTTTGACATTGAATTCCTTAAACTCACCCTTTTTATATGGTAAAAATTCACCAGAAAAAAAATTCAGCTTCAAAAAATTTAGCCACAAAAAATTCAGCTGCAAAAGTGTTGACCTTTTGGTGAACTCAAGCCAAAGCAATCTACACTCTATAAAGTCGAGCAGCTTGTAGCCAATGAAATTAGCTGATTTGGTCACGTGACAACGGCTGCACTCAGCGCTGTTCCCGGCTGAATGAGGAAATTTGGTATTGCTTTTATTTCATTACATTATTTCATGATAAAAATGTGGAATTTTTATGTAATATTAATTTCATTATGGAAAAATTCTTTATCCACAAGTGCAGATTCTTTAAAGTTTCTCCAAATTTTCAAGCATTCCAAAATGATATTAAAAGTTTTCATGCCTCGATTAAGTTACTGGAGAACAACAAGGCCTTAAAGTTTTCAGACTTGATAGCAATATACTTTAGCTAAAACCCTGTGTTTTTTTTATTTAATTTTCTTTCTCATTCTTTTATATTGTTTCTTTTTCTGAAAGAAAACCGTTATGGATGGCATATGTTCAATTGTACGTTTCTACTTTTCTGAAAGTGTTTTTTGGATTTATGAAAATAAAGTAAAAAATAAAATAAAAAAAAGACAGCTATTAGAGTTTTTCCTCTTATCAGACTGGGTGAAAAAACTAAGCCGATCACAGCTGGTACGGCACCCCTGTCTGCCAAGGCTCTTGGTTTGATCCGGAAGAAGCGGCCGGCGGCAAACTTTTTTTCTTCTTCATTTCGGCCAGAAGCGACATGGCGGCGGCAAACAGACAGGGGTGCCGTACCAGCTGTGATCGGCTTAGTTTTTTCACCTAGTCTGATTAGAGGAAAAACTCTAATAGCTGTCTGTTAGTAGCTAACTGACGTTTAGTAATTCTGTTTAACAAAAAATATTCCTCATTCAGCCGGGAACAGCGCTGAGCGCAGCCGTCGTGTCACGTGACCAAAGGAGCTAATTTCATTGGCTAGAAAGGCCAATGGTCAAAGTCAACACTTTTGCGGCTGAATTTTTTCCAGATAAAAATTGAGTTTAAGGAATTCAATGTCTAAAAAAATTCAGCGTTTAAAATTCTGTGTTAACAAAAAAGGTAGATTCCAATGAGACTGTTTTTCTTCCATAAGCGGGGACTATATATCAGACTTTATAGCAAACTCGGTTAACTGAGAGTTCGGACAGATGATCACTGCTTTTAGCCCCATTGGTCGTGTAACTCCTCCACCAGTGGAGGAGGAGTTACACGACCTGCACCATCTGCAGGTGGTGCCTGCACCATCTGTGTTATTAGCCACCGCTGGGACAGCAAATCCTATAATGTTTTGCGAGGAGAGCTCTCCTCGCAAAGCATTCTGGGATATGTCCGTGTCCTCTGAGGCCTTTCTTTTCTTCTCATACACTTGTTAGACACTTTATCTAACGACCCTCTGCCATTTTCAAAGAACCGCAGTAAGAAAGGTGAGCTCCAATGTCTGCCTGAAACCGCAGCTCACCACAGATATACGCCTGAAATTGCGCATGCGCAAAAAAAGAAAGCTAATGGGGCGAGCACGTAGGACGGTCTTTTGTAAACGTATCCAGAATGATTGACAATCAGGAGGACCAGTTATGTAGATGATTCACCTGGAAATTAAAGATCATCCTCCCTACATTTAAGCACTGAGGTTTATTTCTACACATCATTAATCTGGAACTACTTAGGGCTGACTGCTCCGTCTGTTCCTCTTAAAGGTGAAATCATAGTTTGTGATAAACCAGATGTGATGGCAGAAGCTGTTTGGTCACAGCTGTATGTGCTTCCATAAACCCTGATACTGCAGTGTGATTTATTGAATGACCCGTTTTTGGTCAGACTCCATCGATCTAAACTGGAGCGTAAAACATAGCATCCTTTGTATTGTGATCGTACAAATACTACGAGAAATACTACTTTGTCTACGCCCATAGACAAAATACAACAAGCTTGAGGAACAGGTTATAGTATTTATAGGAGAACTATGGTTTAGATTTGTGTACCATAGGAGCCGTCAGTGTAGTTATCAATTTATTATTTATGTGGGCTGTGCAGGGGGAAAAAAACGGGTGTTTGGGGGCAGAAATTATATCATCTGACCTCATGAACGCATCAAGCATAAACATAA